CGGTGGCGACATCTGGTGGCTACCAGCAGCCGGTGGCGACATCTGGTGGATACCAACAACCGACGGCGGCGACATCTGGTGGATACCAACAACCGATGGCGGCGACATCTGGTGGTTACCAGCAACCAGTGGCGACATCTGGTGGCTACCAACAACCAACGACAGCGACATCTGGCGGTTACCAACAACAGATGGCGGCGACATCTGGTGGCTACCTGTACGCGTCGCAGAGTTACGGCTACGCGACGGGACAGGCGGCGGCGGCGGCGGCAACGCGGCAGGGCGGGAATACAGTGCAGTACGGTACGCCGCAGCAGCCTGGAAACAACGCACAGTACGGGGTCACACAAGCAGCAGTAAGCAGTGGTCAGTACGGGGCCACACAGGCAGCAGTAAGCAGTGGTCAGTATGGGGCCACACAGGCAGCAGTAAGCAACACACAGTACGGAACCACACAGGCAGTAAGCAGTGGTCAGTATGGGACCACACAACAACCGGCAAGCATTACCCAGTTTGGTCAGTATGGTGCCACGCAACCGACCGTGAGCGGTGGGCAATACGTGGCCACGCAACCGGCCGTAAACAGTGGTCAGTACACATCCACACAACAGCCTTGGATGCAGAACGGAACCGCCACACAGCCTGCCACGAACAATGCCTATTTCGCAGCCACACAGCCAAACAGTACCCAATACGGCGCAGCCAACCCAACCCCACTGACTGTAACTGCTGCGCAATACGGAACCCAGCCAGGCAGCAACGTCCAGTATGCGGCCGCGCAAAATCCAACCGGCAACCCTCCATACGGAACCGCCCCGCATCCGAGCATTCCCGTTGCCGCTTCGAATGCCGCGACGCACGCACAGTACCACCTCCCGGTCACAACCGAGGCAAAGTACAGCCCTCAGATGACCGTGTCGACAGCGGGATCGTACCAGCAGGTGGCGCAGTCGAGCGGCGGCGCGCACGTGCTGTATCAGGCCTCGGCGACCGGCGGAAGTCGTACGCTGCCGGCGCAGGGACAGGCGACGCGGCAAGACTTCGCGTATGGTCAGCGGGGTGTGACGGGTCAGAGTGCGACGGGGCAGTACCAAGGCTTCCATCAGCAGCAGCAGCAGCAGCAGCAGCAACAACAACAACAACAACAACAACAACAACAACAACAACAACAACAACAACAGCAGCAGCAGCAGTATCAGCAGCAGCAGCAGCATCAACAGCATCAGCAGCAACAGCAGCAACAGCAGCAACAGCAGCAGCCACCTAACCAGTACGCTCCGACGCCGCAGCCCGCCTCCGCCCAATACCCTGCATCCGTTGCTCTCGGCTACCAGCAATACAACACTCAGCCTCTCGCGTCGCAGGGGATTGCCCAACCAGGGTACCAGCCTCCTCAGGCGTCCACGGATACGAGCGCGGCTTATTCCTCCCAGCAGTTTCCTCAGCAGCACCCGACGGTCGCCGCGGCAACCGTGGATACGGCTGCCTTGACGTCATTGTCCGGAAAACAAAGCCAGGTGGGTGCAGCACGCACGATCAGTAACTGGATGAGCAGTGTGGGTATCAGTAACTGTGTTTTTTTTTGTTTTTTTTCAGTATACAATAACAAACTTATTCATAGATACACATAACATTACCATTGGCATTAGAAGTATACATTACAGTACTAACCTGTACATGATCACAATTATGTACAGGCACACACACACAGACATACATACAGAGAGAGGGAGAGAGAGAGAGAGAGAGAGAGAGAGAGAGAGAGAGAGAGAGAGAGAGAGAGAGAG